ATTCCTGTGTTGAAGCCTGGTCATTAACAAGACCTCATTTTTAAATTCCAAATCACCTTGCCCTGAATTCATGGACAATCTTTTCACATCTATTTCTTGCCCGCTTGGAAGTGTTCCCTTACATTAATTAGAACAAATAAATATTAATCGAGTGTCTTCCCCATCGATCAATATGTTGGATAAGTAAATGTCAATAGTCAAAACCTACGTGTTAATTACTTTATTACACATCAATGTTTTATTTCTATATATTGTACCCATCTTTTTAATAATTTACCTTGTAAACAATACCAAATCCACCTTGCCCGAGCTTGTTAGCGTCAGAGAAACTATTTGTTGCAGCTCTAATTGTACCAAAGTCATAGTGGAGGGATTCAACGGTACTAATTTCATTGTCACCTTGAACATGTGTAAAATAACGTTTCAGCCAATTAAGTGAAAGAACATGAAGATATAGACGGGCATACACAAAAATAGATATTCAAAGAAAAATTAAACTTACTTTTATATATTTCTTGTTGTTTACTCTTTTGTCTCATTCTTAGGACGACGCCAATGCAAAGAGCAAGCATTAGGCTAACAACAATTGGAACAATAGTTATGATGATGGTTCGAGTTGTATTATCATCATTTCCTACAAAATAAAGAAAAATACAGTGATAGTATTATCATTAAAATTTATTGCTTCGAATGTTTTACTAGAACTAATAAGTTTTGTTAAAATCTAAAATGAATTTTGCACATTATTTTAAGTGTAGCACTAGTGAAGTAGAGTGGCGGAAGTGATAAAAATAATAAAGAAACACACCATTGAAATCCCGTTTATATCAAAGAAATACTGCAATATGATCACCTTCTTACTTCTGTTGATTCCTAAAAATTAGAGCTGGACATGGTCTGATTCCAGTTATAACAAGAACCTAATCGGACCCGAAATTTTCAGATATTTAGTAAGTGAAACCGTCGGGTCTAAATTTAATTATGGAACCTTTTGTGTTCGATTCCATTCGGTTCAGTTCGATTCAATTTTCAGGTTTCGTATTATAATGAAATTTTTTAATATTTACAAAGCTATATTAATTCAACCAATGATATGTTTAATATGATCTCTCATTAAATAATATAGTCCAATCTTACGCATCTTTTGCATTTCTCTTTGCTAAATTCTTCATAAATTTGATTCTTAAAATTACATGAAGAGGAAGATAGCGAGCTCACAATAATCAAGAGAGACGTTGTCGAGTTTCAATTCAATTTCTCTAAAATAGTATAAACGACACTATAGTAAAATAACAGATTTGGATAAAACTTAGATCAATTTGATTAAGTTAACTTTGAACTAAAAATTAGAAATATGCCATATTTTTTGGCTTGAGTTAAATTAACTAGTTAGTAAAATTATTTAGAAAAATTAAAATAGTTTGACTTATTTAAAATAGATTAATTAAAAAGAATTAAGGAGATTCGGTTATTCAATTCTTGATTTTGGACCAAAAACTGAACCAAACTCATCGGTTATCGATTCGGATATTCATTAAGATATTTAGCCTCCGTTTGTTTCCCATTATTTGTCCATTAAAATAAAAATATAACCGTTATTCATCATATCAAGCCACCATATTTGACTTTCTATCTTTTGTGTGGGGTCCGTAATGACTATATTTTTTATTTTCATTTTTATACTAATGTGTATCAAATGGGGCCTTAATTTAAGAAGAACCGCTCGGTTAGCTTCGGGTTCGGTTCGGAGGTTTTGTCCAGCCCTACTAAAAACATAAAAAATTTAGTCATAAAAAAACTCTCTTTGATTCTTGCTCAAAAATGAGAATTTGAACGCATTGATTTTAAATATCAAATACTAAGAATTTAAGAAATTGGAGAAAATCTCGACAATTAAAATTTTCTTTCAATTCAAAAATAATTTTATTATTATTATTTTTTTGTCATTAGTTAAGGCTTACGACTCATACTTAAAGTAATAATTAAAATATGGATAACAACTAAAGTCTAGATAATGACCAACTTTATATAATGACTAAATTCTCTACAATGACTTAAATTAGAGGCCTAATTGGAATTGAATTTTGAATTTATTTACTAGAATTTTATTATTATTATTTTTTTGACTGTGGGTGTTCAGGCCAGCTTACGCGAACCTTGACTAATTCCACGGAATCCTGAAGTTTACAATTGGACACTCACCTCACAGTTCCTGAAGTTTACTAGAAACTACTAACTAAAATATAATTAAAAACCCCTAATTATAAATAAAATATAAAATATAGAAAAAAAATTGCATAATTAAATTGAAGCCAGCTATATATAAAATCTCCATCATTCTCGTCCAGTTGATGAAGATTCATCTTGGAATCTTATACTTTGTTATCATCCAAAGTCCTGTAAAGATGGTAGTTTACTTGGTAAATTTGTGACACACACCAAAAAAAAACTCTTTGAACAAAGGTCGAAGTATAATAGTCATCGCTAGATCCATGGGATCTCTTGTGTGGCACTTAAAAATAACTTCGACTTCCTTAACATTAGACTCTTTATAAAAAAAAAAAAAAAAAAAGTTGATCATTGTAACTGTCATGACACTCATACATTCTTTATCGAAGATCGAGGAGCCATTGTAACTTTCATTTTGCCCAAATTCCCAAATTATTTAATTTCTTCATCAATGATTGAAGAATCACCGTAACTAAAATTCAAAGATTCTTCACCTTTAAATTATTGAAAGGAGTAAAAATGGTTTTATGCATAAATCAAACTTCTACCGCTGAATTTCATGAACACCAACTCATTTCTTTCAAGAACGAAGCCCACTTTCAACTCAATTAGGGGAGGAGATATATATATATAATGAACATGCTATCGAAGTTTCATTGATTTCAAAGAAATACTGCAATACGATTACTTTTTAGTTTCTATTGATTCCTAATAATACCAAAAATTTAGGCATAAAAAACTCTTTGATTTGCACAATAAAAAAGAGAATCTGGAGTCATTGAATTTAAATATCAAACATCGAAAATTTAAGAAATTGGAGAAAATTTCAACAATTAATATTTTCTTTCAATTCAAAAATCAACCTTCTGTCATTAATGTTTTCAACTCATATTTAAAATCTGAATAATAACTAAAGTTTATATCATTACTGACTCTAGATAATGAATAATAACTTAAATTAAAAAACCCTAATCACCCGGAATTAAATTCTAAATTTATTTGCTAGACAATATTAACTAAAAGATGATTAAAAATTCCTTAGTATGAGTGAAATATAAAATATAGATAAAAATTGCATAGTTAAATTGAAGCCAGCTATATGTATTCAATATCCATCAATTAGACGACATTTGGGCAGGATTGGACGTCATAAAATGATCAAGATAGTTTTTCTTCTTATTTAGCCCCTGTTTGTTTCCCATTCTTTCCTCATTAAAATGAAAAATATGACCATCATCCATTCCATCAAGTCACCAAATTTGAATTTCTATCCCTGGGACCCATAACGACTATATTTTTTATTCTCATTTTTACAAAAATGGGAAACAAACGCCCCTTACTTTTAGTTTGTTAGTGTCCAAACCACCCAACAGGAATGCCATTAATCTCATTTGATAAGAATGTTGGTAGTCCCTTAACTATAAGGTAATGAATAGATTGCCTGTTGAATCTCACAAATAGCATATATATAGAAGTCAAGGATTTTCTCACCTGGTGGTGCTGATATTGGCGGCGGCGGTGGTGGTGCTGGTGGTGCCAGCTGAGGAGTATCATTATAAAACAAATTGGTTTCGTACTGAAGAAGGCAGCTGGGGGCGAAGGCACCAAATCCTGGACTTCCAGTACAACACCCTGGTATCACTTGGGTAACCTGATTCAGGCATTCACTACAATCCTCCGAGGTTAAATCAGGGGTGCACTGTACAAGTCCATAAATTGTCAAGAAATCTGGTCCAGACCTATTCCCAGAAGCAAACTTCTTGAGGGAATCACCATTGGCCGCCCGGCTGCGTAGATCGTCCAACAATGTTCTCAAATCCCGGTAGAAATCATCTGGACTTGTGACATTGTTTAAGTTCCGACGATAAACCATAGGGGAAGTTGCAAGTGTTCCGAATATGTACTCATTAGAGTAACGTAACATGCACCAATCACTTGGATCCCTAAAATTCGCCTGTTGTTGATAAGGACACGATTGTAAGATAGAGAGCGTGGCGTTGTTGATACAACTACGACAGGTATCGAGCTGGACATCTCCTCTACAGAGTGCAATGGCATTAACTCTATCAGAATTTTCTCCTATGGAGGCGTTGTAGAATCCATTGGAATCCATATTGGAGGAGAGGGAGGAGAGAAGGGTATTAAGGTTAGCTCTGTAAGTGCTATTACTCGTGTAATTACCATTCGTTCCACACTGGGATTTAACGTAACCAAAAAGGTATGTCATATTCAGGAAAATGAAAGCAAGCCATTTCCAAGAACTCATAGTTGTATGCAGTGTATACAAATGAGATGTGTTTCAAAAGAACAAATTGAAGAAGAGTGAATTCAGAGGAAGACGAAATAGAACAAGAATCGGCATGCTTTAGTATTACGAAACTTTTGTCTTATAAGAATCAATGTTCCATGGTCAACATTACTTTCCTTTAAGAATTGGTGCATACCTAGAATACCTTTTACTAGCATATGAGATTCAAAATGATGAAATACAATGTGGAAAATCAATATAGTATGCGCATTTATTGATAACAATTTAAACACTATTTTCAAATAATCTAAAATTAGGTATATAGATCTTTGACATTTATGTATTTTCTGAACAATTTTCCTGACTCCGACCCTGGGCTTGCCTACCAAAATTCAAGGATTCAGCTTGGCTGAAAAATCTACTTTTACTTTTCCACCCTTGACTATGACTTAGTTAATTCAAGATTCCATACTTTTATGGATTTATTAAAGTTGAGGCCTGGGAGTCATGATTGAGACGAGAGTGCATACAGACAAGGTGGGAAACAAGGGTGGTACTTCCACACCCTTGATTTTTTCCAAACAAGATTTTTCTCCTTTCAACAACACCCATAAATTGGATTCACTACCTAATTTTACGCGTTGTTTTGTTTTATTTTAGAGTTTGTTCACATTAATTACTTCATTTTAAAAGTTTAAATTGTTAGAGATTGAACACATACATTCATTTACATTTTGAGTTCAACAGTTGATGTGTAAGAAAAGAGACTCAGTTTATAATGTTTTTGCTGTGATTTTATGCAAGTGTGAAGACAACCTTTTTCTAGTTTTCAATTGCCCCTATTTGCCCCCATTTTCTAGAAATGAAAATGGGTGGAATAATATTTTTTTAAACAATAAGTGGTTGAAAAAGAAGGAAAAGGTTTAGGCAGAGGTTTAGGCCAACATAGAACATCCTTTAAAAAATTACGAAGCCATTATGCTTCCTCTCCAGTTTTACCTAAAGCTACGAATCTAGATTCCATCGTGAATCGAGCTAAATGTTTAAAGGATTTCCAAGATATGGCCTCACCACCAATGGTAAAAACATAACTGCTAGTAGATTTTAATCCTTTGTATCTGATATCCAATTAGCATCATCATATCCTTCTAATACCTTTGGATATCTAGTATAATGTAATCCAATATTTGAGATGTATCGAAATATCTAAGAACCCTTATCAATGTCTTCTAATGATCATTATTTGGGTTACATGTAAATCTATTAACCTTGTTCACTGCATACGTAATATTTGGACGAGTGCAATTTGTAATATACATAAGACTTCTGATTATCCAAAGAGTATTCTAACTGAAATACTAGTTCACCTTTATGTTTGGCTAAATGTAGACTTAAGTTTGCTGGAGTTTTAACTAGAATTTTCATCATATATATAAAACTTCTTAAGTACAAACTCAATATAGTGAGATTGAGAAATAACAAGCCACTTAGACGTCTTAAGAATTTTAATTCCTAATATTACATCTGCAATATTCATATCTTTTATGTCAAAATATTTTGTCAACATTTTCTTGATAGTTCTATGATATCACAATTACTACTCATAATTAGCTTGTCATTAACATATATACATAAATTACGTATGCACTTGGTATGATTTTAATATAAACATATTTATCACACTCGTTAATTTTAAAACCATTAGAAAATATAATTCTATCAAATTTTACATGTGGTTTGGCGCTTGCTTTAGCTCGTATAATGACTTATTGAGTATACACACTTTTTTCTCCTATCTAGGAGCAGTGAACCTCTTGAGTTGTTCCCATGTAAATTTCTTCTTTTAGCTTTCTTAAATAAAAAGTTGTTTTAACATCCATCTGAAGGATCTCAATATTATCCTTCTTAAATGTGAGTATGTATTGAAAAAATTAAGACATTCTTTTTGTTTGAATCCCTTAACTAACAATCTAGCCTTATATTTATTAATTGATCCATTATTCTTTAATTTTCTTTTAAAAATCTATTTACAACATAATGGTTTGTTATCACGTGATAGATCTACTTACTCTCAGGTATGGCTCTACATAATAGAATCAATTTCACTATTGATAACCTCTTTAAAAAATGGAGCTTCTTGATTTGACATTGCTTCATTGAATGTCCCAAGTTTATTTTCTAACAAATAAGGTTAAAAAATCTGGACGAGAGATGTAGTTGTTTTGCTCATTTTGCTACGGCTTGGTTCTTCATCACTTTGATAATTACCCATTGTAATATGATAAATTTGTTTTTGCGAACTTGTCGCTTTCCTATCTTTATAAGGAAAAATGTCCTCAAAAAATACACCATTCCTAAATTCAATAATAGCATTTTCATGTACATCTGAAATGTTAGACCTATATAAAAGGAACCGATAAGGACTACTGTTATTAGCATATCCAATGAATATGCAATTAATGGTTTTTGGCCCTATTTTAATTTGTTTAGATTTTGGTATTTCCACTTCTGCCAAACATACTTATACTTTTAAGTATTTTTACGAAGGTTTATGACATTTCTATAACTCATAGGGAGTTTTGTTCCTGCTTTTGTGTGATAATTTATTTAGAATGTGGTTAGCTGAAGGAATTGCTCCCCTTACAAATTCTTAGATACAACATAACTAATCAACATAGCATTCATCATCTATTTAAGAGTACAATTTTTGCGTTCAGCAATACCATTCACTGAGGTGAATACAGAGCTGTAGTTTGACAAATAATACTAGAGTTTGTACAAATTCTTTAAACGATGCTCCATATTCTCCACCTCTATTTCTACGAACAACTTATATTCATTTGTTAAGTTGACTTTTAACCTCATTCTTTTACTGTTTAAATGCTTCTAAGGCCTCATCGCTTCTTAGCAAATAGACATATTAGTACTTTGTGCAATTATTTGTGGAAGTAATAAATACTTTTTACCTCATCTAGTTAGCACAAATATGCCATTTTTGGTGAGTACAAAATTATCAGACTCAAATAGTAGCCCAAACCAATTTTTCCTTAACAAAGCTCCATATACCAAGTTCTTGCATAATATCGGGAACATGTAGCTCATCGATGAGAGTTACTTCTTTGCCTAATGACAAGGGTTGCGCCAATGTCTACTAACCATTCTCTCGAATTCGCCACCATGTTTGCTTCAAATACAACAGTTAAGAGCATTAGTTCAAACATACTGTTAGACAATTTGTCTTCCTCGATTAGGTGTATTTGGTCTTTTTTGTTTTGCTTTTTTTCCTTCGGCAATCTTTTGCAATGTGACTAGGCTTATTGTAGTTATAGCAATATTCTTTGAAATTATTGGCCTTGCTTTTTTTCTTGCCATTATCTAAGTGCTTCATTTTCTTACTAGTATTTGGCTCCATCAAATTGACTTTAGCCTCAATTTGTAGCTTTCTAGATTTCTTCTTAGAGTTTCGATTATCTTTCTCAATTCTTACAATAAGATCTTCAAGTCCCATTTCCATAAGTTTATGTTTTAGGTAGTTCTTGAAATCCTTCCACATTTGTGGTAATTTCTCGCTAATCGCAGCAAGCTGAAATGACTCACCGAGCTTCATACCTTTTGCATGTATCTCATACAAGATAATTTGTAGCTAGACTTGATTCATCACTGATTTAGAATCTATCATTTTGAAGTCCAAGAATTTGCCTACAACGAATTTCTTCAACTCGGCATTTTCCATTTTGTACTTCTTTTCCAACGATTCCCACGGTAATGTAGCTGTCTTGATCGAACAGTATATGATGTATAGTATTTTGCCAAGGCAATTGAGGATGTAATTCCTGCACAAGAAGTCAATATGACTCCATACATTGAAGCTGCTCGTTTTTTAGGATCTATTTCATTGTCTTCAACAGTTAAAGCATCTTCACTCAAGAATTTTGTCAAATTCAGTGTTGTGAGATAAGACAATACTTTCTGTTGTCATCTCTTAAAATCCACTTCCATAAATTTTTTTGATTTCTCCCCATCAGCATTGTTAAGGGGTACAACAAATGTAGTATTACTTGACATAATCTAATGAATTTTTAAGATATAAATTAGCACATAAACAAAAATATCATCTTAAGATTGTTGGAAAAATATTGATTTTACCGTGAAACAATTTATATTCAAAACGATCTTTTTACAACGAATAAACAATTGGAAAAAATTTCGACTTACAGAATGAATGGAATAAAATAGAATGGTATTGATTGATGTAAGAGTTCGACTCTTTCTCATTAAGATGATAAAGCACCGCACTGGTGTTGACGGTCTTCCGATACTTGTCTCCCAAAATACAACAATCTCGACTTGTAATAATAGCATTCCAAATTACAAGGCTCAGCCAACCTACTAATGTTTTGATCTCTAAAACTAGAGCACTAAAATGCACGAAAACAAAATACGGGACTAAAATGCAAAATATGGAATAATGCAAGGAAGAAGGGATAAAATTTGCAAGAGAGAAAAGTTGCATATGGGGGCAAAAACTTGGTTGATTGATTACCCGCAAGTGGACGAGATCGTGAACAAGTGATAAAATGGTGTGTAGAGTGTCGATCCCACGAGGATTATGTGTTTGATCGAGTTAAAGCTAATAATTCCTTTAATCGAATAGCAAAGTCGAGTTGTCACTGACACTATTAAATCTATTAATTAACTTGAAAGCAATGTAAAAATTTATTAAATTTGAGAGACGTATTGCTAAGATGTCGAATCCCTCTTACTACTCAATTTTTAATTCAACAATTTGAATTGACAATTTAAAATCATGCTTGTTGGTCAAAGTTCCTATTTTATTTTAAAACTTCTCTTAATAGCAATTAAATCTAATCGTACATGTAGTTTTCCTATATCTCTATGAAAAATACAAACATGTAAGGAAGCATTAAAAAGCTAGAACATTTTTAACGAATATGTGAGGTATAAAGGTATATCTCTATCCTCTATCGAAGTTCACAATGTTTATTATTTTGTGCTAATGATCCTATTCTCTCTCGATAACAATAAAATCCACAAACAATTCAATTATTGGCCATGTAATTGAAAAGCAAACTAAACCATTATAAACATCCAAGAATTCAAACAAATTTGACGTCAATCTAATTATTAAAACTAAAAATTCATAACAAGGGTTCATCATATCTTAACAATATAAAAAAAATTAGCCAAGCATATTGTTGGGATTAAACAAAGAAAAATGGAAAGACATCAACGAGAAATTGATAAAACGTGATTAATTCTTCAATAATGTTGCCACCGTCTTTTGCCACATATCTCTTCCATCCGTTCTCTGTGCGTATATATAGCTGTTTTCTCTCTTCCCTTTTTAGTCGGCAGCATGTGTGTAATATATATATCTCCCAGCCACCACCTTGTATTTTGTTTCCAATTGAATTCCAACAAGCGGCCCCTGTTTTCTTTTGTCCCAGTAGGAGTCTTCTTCCTTTCTCAATGGGTGTGTGTGGATAAAAATATAAACTCCCAATTGTTATCAAATTTCAGCCTCCATTCCCTGTTGCCATGTGCTTGTATATATATTTCTTTTGCTTCCACCCACCTAGCTGCCGGCTCTCTCCCTTGTGTATGAGTTCTTGTGTGTATGTATAATATAATCACAGCAGCAAGCAGCCTTTTTCTCCCCAAATTCAGCAGCTGCATTCCCTCCTTGCTGCCCCATTTCTGTGTGTACATATACTATAGCCGGCATCCCAATTGGTCTCCTTTTTTGTCTCTAAAATAATTACTGGGCATCCGTTTAATTTGACTCCAAAGAACTCCAATATCTCCCTCGTTGGCGCCGGCAGCCCTCTTTTGTAGGCAGTGGCGAATCCAGGAATTTTTGGCGCACGGGCTAAAATTTAAAAGTCAATATAATAAATTTATATATTATATTAAAGTCAAATTCATTTAATTTGAAGCTGTTCCCGATGAGGTTTTGAGACATAAAATCCATCTATCACAGAATCTATATCTATCTTTTGAGCAAGTTCTCGTTCGATGAAGAGTGTCATACAATTAGCAAGAAATTCATCTTCCATTTTATTACGAAGATCCGTCTTCACATTTTTCATTGCTGAAAATGCTCGCTCGGTAGTCGCGGTAGAAACAGGTAAAGTCAGTACAAGACGAATAAGTCTAGTAACCATAACATAAATCTCCGATCTTCTACTCTCAGTTAACTATCGACATAACTCAACAAGTGTAGATACTTGAAATCGAGATTCAGTCTTCATATCTAGCTCATATTGTCGCAACTCATATTCCAAAATACGAATATCTTCCTTTGGAAAATCTTCAGGATAGAATTTCTCAGCAAGTGTACAAATATCGTGACTGTTAAATGATGCAAATGAATCCCTAGGATCCAACGCTGCACTAAGTGTGAGAAGTTCAACTGATGTATCATTAAATCTTGTATTTAATTTCATCAATACGTAATCTATTGCTTCATTGAAAACATCAAAGTGATAATGATGTTTCATTGTAATTGGATCACGAGAACGGCAAGGACCAACTTTATATAAACTTTCTAGATCGGGTATCTCAATATCATGTTTTGTGCAAAACTTTTTCACTTCCTCAAGAAATTCTTCCCAATCATCATCTCTTAATTTGTGGAGGAGTTTTGTTGTAGTAGAAACGAATCTCGTAGCGGTTAGAATGTCTTGAGATTTCCTTTGAAGGGCTTGACAAAGAACATCGATTATTCTCATGATGGTATGCATTAAATGCAAACTAAACACGAAATCAAAACTTTTCATATGTTCGTAAGTACCACGAACTTCACCTCGAGATTTTCCATTTGGACAATGAACACTAAGATTTTCAAACACTGCGCAAGTTGCATTATACATATCTATTAAGCTCTTTATAGAGTCATAATGAGAACTACAATGAGTTGCTCCTGATCGTTGTATATTACCCACTTGATTTGCTCCACTTCCCGACTCACGCTCCCCGATAGCTAACATATGCTCAATTTCAATTCTTTGAGTAGATTGTAACTCCGTAAAGCGCTTAGGGAAAGAAGTGATAATGTTGATAATATTGTCCAGATGAGAAAAGAACTCCCAAATAACATCAACTTCTTTAGCTGCATAAACCAATACCAACTGTAATCGATGAGCGAAACAGTGGGCGTAATACGCATACGGACAATCTCTAAGAAATAATGCCTGAAGTCCATTCAAGCGCCCCGCATAGTACTAGCACCATCATATCCTTGGCCTCTCATTTTTGACACTTCATGTTGAGCAAGAACATTTACAATCTCATTTTTTAGACTTGATGATGTGGTGTCACTGACGCTTTTGATATCAAAGTAGCGTTTCGTCAAAATACCTTAACCATTCACAAACCTCAAAATAATAGCCATTTGTTCTCTCTTGGATGCAGCTTGTGCTTCATCAACAAGAATACAAAAGTATCCATCCCCAACTTCTTCACGAATCATCCTTCTTACTCTATTCGCCATTATGTGTAAAATTTCTTTTTAAATACTCGAAGCAATGCATTGGGCATTTTTTGGAGCATTTTTCAACACAACTTTATCGATTTCTGTATTTGTTTCTACCAAAATTTTTATCATCTCAATAAAATTCCCACGATTTAATGAAGATGAAGATTTATCATGACCTCTAAAGGAACAACTTTGAAATGCTAGCCAACGTGCACTTCGAATTGAAGTCTTTAAATGTAGATGATGTTTCACAACTTCTTCATTCGATATGGTATGTATCACTTTATCAATATGTTGAGACGGTTTCATTAAATCTTTAGCTCTTCTCTCACACATATTATGTTCCGATGATCACAAATGAGTAAGAAATACACATTTTGCTCCGTCATTAACCCTCTTCCACTGGTTATATCCAGAAGTTACCAATGCCGAACAATTGGACGGATTTCCCTCATTCCGGAAAAGATAACAATAAAAGCAATATACTCTATATGTCGTAGGTGAATATTCTAACCAAGGAAACTGGTTGATCCATTTTGCCTGAAAGCGACGAGATTGAGATTTTCCTTGTGTTCTAGGATACTCAACAAGTCTTGGTTTATAAGGCCCAACGTTTAGATATGACACTCTAATTTCATCCCGCAGATTAGAAGAAAATTCTAGTATTTGCTTTCTTTTTCCTGGTTCTCGTTCAAT